TACACATGTCCATAAAAAAGAGTAAAGTAGCTGCCTATTCTGAACTGGTTCAGGTCAAAGTCGACTGCAGATGAAGAAATAAAATGTTTTGAAAATTTGTAATTACACTTACAATCACTTCCATCGTCGCTTAATGCCTTCGCAGGCCTGAGGGGAGTGTTAAACGGTAGGTGGAGTGGAGGCGAGAGTTACAGTATTGTTGGGAAGTGATAAAAATATATTTAGAAAGGATATTATAACCAGATATTTTATATAAACTTAACGGTTTCTTGTAAAGCCTTACAACCAGAGGATGAAAATATACAATGGGCAAAAATTAAAATAGTGTACGGTAATAAGTATAATAACATTGGGAAGGAATGTTTAAAAAGCTTTCAATACAAAAATGAGACATACAGTGAACAGACACGTTATCTATGATTGACTGACAATTTGGTGTTGTAGAAGATCTCATTTGTGTGTGTGTGTGTGTGTGTGTGTGTGTGTGTGTGTGTGTGTGTGTGTGTGTGTGTGTGTGTGTGTGTGTGTGTGATGGACAGATTGAAGCACTCATTGAATAGATATATTTATCCCGTGTTCAAGATATTATGAATCAGTTGAGTTGTTGCGACAAAAAAGGTGGACTGGTGGGCTTGGGTGTCTGGGAGTGGATGTTTCAGTGAATAAACAATGAGTGACGAACTGAATCATAGAATACCTGAAGTAGAGAAAGTTGAAGGAGTGTGAGGAGTACAGTGCATATGGAGAGAGAACTGTGGCAAAGATGGGGATGTACTGTACATAGGATTTAACGAGCCATCAGTATTAAAAGGTTGTGACATGTGGACTCTGAATAAAAACGGGAAAATAAAATTGGGATGAACAGAATATATATTCTTGAGAGTAGAAGGAAGTTAGAGAGTATGCAAAGAATAATGAGAGGGATATAAGAAAGTGATGCAGATGTGGTGGAAGTGTATTGAGAGAATAGGAAATTAAATTATTAGAGAATATGATTTATATTCTTATGGCAAGAGAGCGAAGGGGAAACCCGAGGAAATGATGGAAGGATGGAATAGGGGAGACAGTAGATGAGAGGGAGGAAGATCTGAAGAGCGCTGGTACATGTGCGTGACTTGTGAGCATGATGTGTTATTTTTAGGGTGTGAACATAATGTTGATGGGCAACACTGAGGTGACAGGGATACACTATGTGGATGTTTTGGGGTCATAGTGTGAAAGGAAGAAGACTTCTGGAGGACACATCCGTTACAGCCGTTAGAGAATTAACTGCAACGGTTAAAGAGAGACTCTGTACATGCTCTTCATTACGATCACTCTGCATGATTGCGGTATCGAGCTTCCGAGGCTATTTTTTTTATGAATACAGTTTTTCTTTATTCTGTTGCAAACTCGTTGTTGTACCATGATGTACTTTAGAATAGTGAATTGAAGTTCAAATTCTAAGTGTGATCATTGTCAATACAAGGTACTGAAAGAAGGTCAGTGGGAGGGTAGGAGGAAGGAGGAGCCGGGGTAGGGCACTGCAGGAGACTAGGAAGGAGGCAAGGAAAGACGACATAAGCAAGTAAATGAAGCGAGGCTTGACGAAGAGGAGCTAAATGAATGGAAGGTTTTGAGGAAAGGAAGGAAGTCGGGCCTGAGGAAAAAAAGGAAGGGAAGGATGGAAGAATAAAAGGTAACAAAAAAAGGACCGGAGGCAATAAGACATCCATAAAGACAGACAGACAGACAGACAAACAGACAGCCGCAGGGAAAGAAGGTCTAACTGAGAAGGAAGAGGGGTCAGAGGAACGAATGAGATCCAGAAGTACGTGAGAGGTCAGATGGGGGGTGGGGGCTTAGATGGAGGAGTAAGGATAGGAGGATGTGATAAATAGCGAGAGGGAGGGAGGGACGGAGAGAGGGAGAGATGGAAGAAAAGAGGATTGATTTAGGGTGGAGGGTAAAGAGTGATGGAGTAAACAATATCAAAATGCAGGCCACGCACAGCTAACGGGCCCACCTATCCTCAAGAGCTGGATAGAGTGAAGACGATTTTGCCAGATTGTAGCTAACTGAGGATGGTTGTTGTAGTTGTGAGAGTGGTTGTTACGATAGTAGTTGTTGTGGTTGTGAGAGTGGTTGTTACGATAGTAGTTGTTGTGGTTGTGGGAGTGGTTGTTACGATAGTAGTTGTTGTGGTTGTGGGAGTGGTTGTTACGATAGTAGTTGTTGTGGTTGTGAGAGGGGTTGTTACGATAGTAGTTGTTGTGGTGGTGGGAGGGGTTGTTATGATAGTAGTTGTTGTGGTTGTGAGAGGGGTTACATGATAGTAGTTGTGGTTGTGAGAGGGTTGTTACGATAGTATTTGTTGTGGCTGTGAGAGTGGTTGTTACGATAGTAGTTGTTGTGGCCAGAGAGGACTGTTACGATAGTAGTTGTTGTGGTGGTGAGTGGTTGTTACGATAGTAGTTGTTGTGGTGGTGGGAGTGGTTGTTACGATAGTAGTTGCTGTGGCTGGGAGAGGGGTTACAGGATAGTAGTTGTTGTTGTGGTGGGAAGTGGTTGTTACGATAGTAGTTGTTGTGGTGGAGTGGTTGTTACGATAGTAGTTGCTGTGGTTGTGAGAGGGTTGTTATGATAGTAGTTGTTGTGGTGGTGAGTGGTTGTTGATGATAGTAGCTGGGTTGTGGCTGTGAGAGGTTGTTAAGTGATAGTAGTTGTTGTTGTGGTTGTGAGTGGTTGTTACGATAGTAGTTGTTGTGGTTGTGAGAGGGGTTGTTATGATAGTATTTGTTGTGGTTGTGAGAGTGGTTGTTATGATAGTAGTTGTTGTGGTTGTGAGAGGGGTTGTTACGATAGTAGTTGTTGTTGTGGTGGGAGTGGTTGTTACGATAGTAGTTGTTGTGGTGGTGGGAGTGGTTGTTACGATGGTGGTTGTTGTGGTGGTGGTGAAAATGTTTGTTACGGTAATTGGTGGTTGTTATGATGGTGAAATGGTTGTTACGATGATGGTGGTTGTTGTGGTGGTGAAAATGGTTGTTACGATGATTGGTGGATGTTGTGGTGGTGAGAGTGGTTGTTACGATGGTGGTAGTTGTTGTGGTGGTGAAACGGGTTATTACGATGATGGTAGTTATTGCGTTAGATTGCCCTATTGATTCAAGTAGTGAAGATGGATATTATGATGGTTTATGATCTTGAAGGTAATTTCAATGGCCATAATATTGAGTGAGAAAAGTTACTGTGATGGAAGTAATTTTGTGGATGCCTAGGGTTGTTATGATGATGGTACTGTAGTTTTGAAAGTAGTATTAGGTTGTTGTTGTTATATTGGTGGTAGTTTTGAGGGTGATTCTTATAGTTGTGATGCTGGTAATTATCTGTAATGGTGTGCCAGTAGAAAGCATAGTGTTAATAGTTTTATGGGTTACAGTAATACTTCTTATGGTGATCTTGACGATAAGGCTGAAGTGATAAGGGAATGCTAGTGGTTGTTATGGGCTAATATAATCATGGTAGATATTCATGGTGGTGATGTTCATGGTAGGTATTATGGCAGTGTTAGTAACAGGTACAATAATAATTTTTATTGTAGTGCTAGTGGCAGTAACATGTAATGGCTTTTATGGTAGTAGCAGCAACAGGTGTAATGGTTGGTATGGTGGTAGTGGTAGTAACAAAAGTAATGGTTGGTATGGTAGTAGCAGTAACAGGTGTAATGGTTGGTATGGTAGTGGTAGTAACATAATTAATGGTTGGTATGGTAATAGCAGTAACAGGTGTAATGGTTGGTATGGTAGTGGTAGTAACAGATGTAATGGTTGGTATGGTAGTGGTAGTAACAGATGGAATGGTTGGTATGGTAGTGGTAGTAACACATGTAATGGTTGGTATGGTAGTGGTAGTAACAGAAGTAATGGTTGGTATGGTAGTGGTAGTAACATAAGTAATGGTTGGTATGGTAGTGGTAGTAACAGGTTATAAAATGGATTTGGGTATATGAAAAATTGGTTGTATTAAACACAAACGTGGTTGGTATAGGTAGGTAAAGGTAAGTAACACATACCATGTAGGTTTAGTATAGTAATTAGTAGTGTGGAAATGTAAGTTTGGTGTATGGTGAGTGGTAGTAACAGAAGATATGGATTGGTGTGGTGGTAGTAACAGAAGTAATGGTTGGTATGGTGGTGGTAACACATGAAATGGTTGAATTGTAATTGAGTGGTATTAACCAAGGATTAAATGGATTTGGTATGGTGGTGGTGTGTGGCAATATGTAATGGATTTTGGTGTATGGTGGTGGGTAAGTGGCAAGAGTGTGGGACCCCAAGTATGGTGGTGTTGTGGCACGTGGCAATGGTTGGTGTGGTGGTGGGGTAGTGGCAAGCTGATTTATTGGATTTCAGTTATGGTGGTGGTGGTGGCAGAGGTAGTGGTTTGGTGTGAGTGGTGGTGATGTGTCTTTAGATGGTGTGTTTTGCTCTATTAGTATTAACATTGAGCACGAAAATGTGAAATAAAGTATTTCACTGGAAAAAAAAAACGACTGTAATAGTAATAGTAATAGTATTAGTAATAGTAATAGTAATATGTACGCAGGCAGTATATCTCATTACATGTTGTGTATGTATTGTACATATACAGTACGAGTGTTTTATTTTTGTGAATATATATTTATGTTAAACCCGAAAAATGGATTATTTAATACAAAGTCATGTGTGTAACCTTTGAAGAACTGAAATGGATTAATTAAGTGGTTTTTTAATACTTCAAGAGAGAGAGAGAGAGAGAGAGAGAGAGAGAGAGAGAGAGAGAGATACTATTTTGAATTTCACTATAAATAAACCATTTTTTCATTAATTGGACTGTACAGGTCGTAATGTGAACACTGTGCTAATACTTGTGTTTATTAAGAAAAAAGTTAGTGGATGTATTTTAAACTCTTGTACACATACAGATGAAGTAATCCTAACTATGCGGGATATGCCTAGAATTTATGAATGTTTTTTTTTTCAGTACAGATTTCTATGTATTTTAAACTTGTTACATTATTTTAAGTATTTATTACGGATAATAAATAGTAGATGAGAGTGTCCGACAAATATGGTGTGGGTAGATATCCCTGGGACGCGGGAAAGTCCCAATATCCGCAGTGACTTGGAAATATCACGTCGTGAGCCCATATGTGAAAACCCTCGACTCAGGAGCAGTAGCCTGAACAAAAACGGGAACAGCAACGCAAACAAACTCCCAAACGACATAAATCACAATCAGACGACGACGGAGATTCCCAAGACTTTCAACCAAAGAAACTCAAACAGCGGAAACAGAGTGCCCTTAGTTCAGCTCCGTGATGTTCGAAGGCAGTTTAAAACCCCGACGTGTGTAAGTTCATCCAACTTGGAATCCTGGGATGAGAGAGTTGAAACGCGGGAGGTGAGAAGGGGAGGGCAGACACGTGTATTCAGAGATAGACATGAAGAGAATAGTGGTAATGTTTCGCACGTTGATTATATCGAAGATAATCTGAATTTAAAATCCAAAAATGCAAATGGCGCGGAGGAGGATGATATATGCGAAGAATATCAGTGGTTAGAAGAAAAATGTAAAGCGCAAGGATTTAGTAAATGTTATTTAGATAATGACAGTACTAAACAGTTTAGCGGGTTGAAAATAAAGGCAATAGAAAAGTATAAGTTGCCTCAAGAACTATATAATTATTCAGAAGTGTACATGAAAATTGCTAATGAAATAAAAAACGATTCACCTGTGAACACTGAAAGTTATGACAAATCCAATGAATTAGAAGAGTCGGGAAATTATGAGGCTTCGAAGCCTCGTCCTGGGAAATTCGTATCGAATCGGTATGACATACCCATCACCAAAGATCATTCATATTCACTGCCAGATTGTATCGAATTTGACGACATAGACGAGGAGTATGAGGGCTACGACGAGTTTCAGGACGAGTTTAGCATCGACCAAACCAGTCTTGTCTTTAACGCACGGGAGGAAGATGCATCATTCCTTCTTCAGGAAGATGTCCGTGTTATCATTCCATCCTTCGACGACCTCACGCTCAACGACCTCTCGCCACTTCTGGAAATACCTCTACCTGTCGATTACTTATCACCCCCATCACCTCCAAAAGACAATAGGCGCAATGGTGCGTCTCCTCCCGACCAAGAATTATTTGAACTTCTTCCATTAGGCTCGGACAGGGACAAGAATGGGAGCAGAGGCATCCTTGCCAGTTGTCAAATCCCGGAGAGTGTCGGCAGGGTTCCAGACGTCCTGCAAGATTTGAGGGAGATTAACAAAAAATGTCATTCGAAGAGAACCCTTCTGAAAGATACCTACTACAATAATTTCCCTCTCAAGAGCGCATACTTGCGAGATCCTTCGTTAAGAAACTTCTACCACATGGAACCCTCTATTGTTATCGGCGACATCACACTGCCACGCCCGAAGGTTTCTCACTTGAAAAATCGTTCTATGAAGTACTCTTCCTTGAAGGACTCTTTCCTGAAAGAGTCTCCTCCTTCGTGCCGGGGCTTGGAGCTCACGTGCGAGAGCCCAGAATCCCCTGACTCCGGGCGAAGGAGCTCGGGATCTTCACGAGACGAGGAGGCACTTGGACCTAAATTCTTCGCCGACTTATGCAGCCTCTGGCCCGACCTTATTGTTCGGTAATGGTTGCCTCTTGCTGTATAATATAATAATCTGTTTAACTAAAGACCTTACAATTTATAAGGGAAGACGATTCTTACAAACTTACAACTTCCTTTAAAGTATCGTTATAAACCTTGATGAATCAAATATGTGTATTGGTTGTCAGATTTCCATCTAACAATATTGATGCCACCCATATCAAGGAATCTTACATTTACATAAATATATCACAGGTCTCACAAACCTTCAAAAAAAATAATCACGTCATTACATCAATAATTTCATGACTCCAAAAGTTCTAATTACTGTTATATGTTCCTATGTGTTCTACATATTCTATAAATATTTAGATAAATAAATACTTACGTTGCTAAGGTTACTGTCTCTTAATACGCATGTAAGTTGTGGCTGTCACTAGCATGTTGAGATATTCCTACCTGTTGCTTTGGTCCTTTTCTGCCTTAGATAATTAACCATTCCTCTATTCCCTTACCAGGAACTTTGTATCTCTTGACAGTTATATACGAATATATCAAGAAATACATATGTTCCTAGACATGTAATTATCTATCAACAACAAAATTTTTAACAATGTTTTATATTCTTTATCGTTAGTTATAATTATGTAACATACAAACATGGAGTTAAGCAAAGGTAGGAGTAGGAGGCGATGGTGAAGGTGGGGGAAGAAGAGGGGGTGGTGAAGGTGGGGGAAAAGAAGAGGGGGTGTGAAGGTGGGGAAAAGGGGGTGGTGAAGGTGGGGAAAAGAGAAAGAGAATTGGTAGAAATTAGGAAGAAAGAGGGGTGGTGAAGGTGGGGAAAGAAAGAGGGGTGGTGAAGGTGGGAAAGAAAGAGGGGTAGTGAAGGTGGGGGAAGAAAGGGGGTGGTGAAGGTGGGGAAAGAAGAAAAGAAGGGATAGTAGCATTGAAGGTGGGGAAAAAGAGGGGTGGGTAGAAGGTGGGGGGAAAGAGAAAGAGGGTGGTGAAGGTGGGAAAAGAAAAGAGGGGTGGTGAAGGTGGGGAAGAAGAGGGTGGAGTGAAGGTGGGGAAAGAGAGGGGTGGTGAAGGTGGGGGAAGAAAGAGGGGTGGCGTGGCGAAGGTGGGGGAAAGAAGGGGTGGTGAAGGTGGGGAAAGAAGAGGGGTGGAGGAAGGTGGGGGAAAAAGAAGGGGGGGTGGAGTGAAGGTGGGGAAAAGGAAAAGGGGTGGTGAAGGTGGGGAAAAGAGTGGTGAAGGTGAGGGAAGAAAGAGGGGTGAGGTGAAGGTGGGGGAAAGAAGAAGAAGAGGGGGTGGTGAAGGTGGGGGAAGAAAGAGGGGGTGGTGAAGGTGGGGAAGAAGAGGGGTGGTGAGAAGGTGGGGGAGAAGAAGAGGGGTGGTGAAGGTGGGAAGAAGAGGGGTAGTGAAGGTGGGGGAAAGAAAGAGGGGTGTGAGTGAAGATTGGGGAAGAAAGAGTGGGTGGTGAAGGTGGGGGAAAGAGGGGTGGTGAGATTGAAGGAAAGAGGTGAAGGTGAAGGTGGGGGAAAGAAGAGGGGTGGTGAAGGCGGGGAAGAAAGGAGGTGTGAGGTATGAGAAGGTGGGGGAAAGAAGAGGGGTGGTGAAGGTGGGGAAGAAAGAGGAGATTGGTGAAGGTGGGGAAGAAAGAGGGGTGGTAGAAGGCAGGGGAAAGGGGGTGAGTGAGGCAGGGGAAAAGAAAGAGGGGGTGGTGGCGGGGAAGAAAGAGGGGTGGAGTGAAGGTGGGGGAGAAGAAAGAGGGGTGGTGAAGGCGGGGAAGAAGAGGGGTGAAATTGAAGGTGGGGAGGGGTAAATGTGGAGGAGGGAAAGAATGTGGAAGAAGGATGGACAATGTGGAAGAAGATTGGAGAATGTGGAAAGAGAGTGGAGGAATGTGGAAGAGGGACGAGAATGTGGAAAGAGGGACGAGAATGTGGAAGAGGATGGACAATGTGGAAGAGGGTGGAAATGTGGAAGAAGGTACTGGAGGAAATGTGGAAGAGAGGGTGGAGAATGTGGAAGAGAAGGTGGAGATTGTGGAGGAGGTGGAGAATGTGGAAGAGGGTGGAGAATGTGGAAGAGAGGGTGGAGGGAATGTGGAAGAGAAGGTAGAGGGAATGTGGAAGAGAGGGTGGAAAATGTGGAAGAAGGTGGGGAATTGTGGAGGGAGAGGGTGGAGAATATGGAAGAGAGGGTGGAGAATGTGGGAAGAGAGGGTGGAGAATGTGGAAGAAGGTGGAAATGTGGAAGAGAGGGTGGAGAATGTGGAAGAGAAGGTAGAGAATGTGGAAGAGGGGTGGGAAAAATGTGGGGAAATATAGAGGTGGAGATTGTGGAGGGAGAGGGTGGAGATGTGTGGAAGAGAGGGTGGAGAATGTGGAAGAGAAGGTGGAGGATGTGGAAGAGAGGGTGGAGGAATGTGGAAGAGTGGGTGGAGAATGTGGAAGAGAGGGTGGGAGAATGTGTGGAAGGGGTGGAGAATGTGGAAGAGGGGTGGAGAATGTAGGAAGATTGGGAGGAATGTGGAAGGGTGGGGAGGAGATAGTAGGGAGAGGAGAAAGGTAGAAAGGGGGAGAAATGTGGAAGAGAGAGGGTGTAGGAGAATGCTTGGGGTGGATGAAGGGGTTAAGGTAGGCGTGTGTGTTCAATGTCAGCATTTCTCTGCATCATCAGTGTGCAAATCATCAGCAGCTAAAATACATCAATTTCACCCCAAGCTACCACCAGCAGCCCCCGCAATCAATCACTTCCACCGACAGCCCCACAATCAATCACTCCACCAGCAGCCCCATAATCAGCCACTACACCAACAGCCCCCCAATCCCAGCCACTGCACCAACAGCCACAATCCCAGCCACTGCACCCAATAGTCACAATCAACCATGCCACCAGCAGCCCCAATCAGCCACTGCGCCAGCAGCCCCTGATCAGCCACTCCCACCAGCATCCCCACAATCAGCCACTACCACCAGCAGCCCCGCAATCAGCCACTACTTAACTAACAATACTACTATCAACTATTTAACAGCAACTATCATCACAATTAACCACCACCTACTACCACCACCACCACCACCGCCAAAATTTTTTTATTTTTATTTTTTTGCCTATTTTAAATTTTTTATCATTCATTTTAGTTTTGTTTCAATAGTTAGCGACAACTACATGCTTAGTTTCTGTCAAGTTTCTATTATTATTATTGTGTATTATTGTGTATTATTATTATTATTTTGTATTATTATTATTATTATTGTATTATTATTATTATTATTATTATTATTTTATTTTGTGTAGCCAATATTGTGTATTATTATTACTATTACTAATATTATTATTATGTGTGAAATTTTAGTTATGAAAGTAATGAAAATATGGTAACATTAACCAGTAATATTCATTTTATTCATTTATCCGAGTTTTGTTTCAATAGTTGTGACCTTCATGTAGTTTCTGTCCAAAGTTTCTATTATTATTGTGTGTGTATTGTGTGTGTGTGTGTATTAGCCCTTTATTTTTGTGTGTGTAGTAACTGTGTGTGTGTGTGTATTATTTTTATTGTGTATGTATTATTATTATTATTACTATTACTATTACTATTGTGTGTGTGTGTGTGTGTGATTTTAGATTATAAATGCTCAAAATAAAACTGATAATTAGTAATATTCATTTTATTCATTTATCCGAGGATATTTTGCATTTGTTTTTGTATATTTTCTCATCCGTTGTTCTACAAATTCCTCTTGTTTATATATATATATATATATATATATATATTTTTTTTTTCCGGATTGACCAATGACCTTCTTGACAGTTAAACATTATTTCTTCTCCTCACTTCCACCACCATACCTACAGCCTGTACTTCCTCCTTCCCTCGAGTGTTTTCCTCGTACTTTTGACTATCACTTATTTGTGGGTGTAATGTAAGGGTGATAGTGATGTAGTTTAGAACATGAGTGGGTAACTGTAATTCAGTAAACAGATAAAAATGGAATATTTGGAGATCCTGAAGTATAATGAAAAATGATTCATTCTGAGGAATAAATCGACGTTATTTGAATACTGATAAAAAAGTTTAGGAGATCTTTTTTTTATGTACTTTCAGGATAACGACACAAAAGTTTAAACTTCTTCTAATGGTTTATATGTTTGCAGGTTGGCCCACGACATCTCGTTAGAATCTCCATCAGTCGAAGATGCCCCCGATCCTCCTGACCCTCCCAACAACAGCGAAGTCAACATCCGTCGTTCCTCATTGGTTGGTGATGTCCAGCCTAACACCCCGCGATCTCTGCACGATTCCCACAACCGTGCCACTACCACGTCATCGTCGGGTAAGTGTTGCTCTGATGAAGACCACTGCTGCCCCCAGCTCATGGAGGAACAGACTCAGGAGCTGAGAGCGGCAGGCGTGGCATGTAGTAGTCCTAAGAGACAGGCCGAAATCTTGGCGTCGGGAAATACGGGGCTGCAGGTGGGCCCCTGTATCAGCGCCGGAATCCAGCCCACTTCCTGCCCCAGTCCGATCTGTGGCAGCCCGGCCCCCAGGAGGCCCAGGCCGGGAACCGTATCGTCAGGGCCTTCTAGTGTCGAGAGCGTGGAGAGCGTGGATAGCAGCGATACTGGAGAAGTTAGTGTGTGCGAATTCTTCGCTGGAGATCTTGAGGAACTCACTGATGACATTACACCTCCTGACGGAGACCTGGAGGGGGCAGTGCGGCCCTCCATGCCTTGGGACCCGAGGCCGAACGAGAGGAAGCGACGGAAACTCCCAGAGATTCCCAAAAATAAGAAATGTAAGTACCAATAATTCATGTATTAATTGTTTTTTCTAAGTAGATGAAGGATTAAATGGGTTCAGTTCTCTCTCTCCATTGACTCTTAAACTTGGCGTGTTGATACCCGGGAGTTACGATGGGACGAGAGAAGGACTGAAAAAAAATAGTGTGTCAGGTTTAGTTTTTAAAGTATAGCGAGAGAAGGGTGACGGTGTGGGAAGGGGGAAAATCCAGATATCGAACGATATGGGTCAAATCAGTTATCATCTGGTTGATGGAAAATGTTATGCCTTGCTTAATAAACAGTCTTTCCTCTGATCATCAAGAAAATATTTCGTCTTGTCAACCACACCTTTAATTAAGTGCAGAAACAGAAGGGCGCCCACTGAAGCTCCTTCCTTACACACCCACACACTACATCGTGGTTGTTGGTTCTTTAAGCTGCCACATACAGTAACTCCTCTACCTGGAAACTCGCACATTGCAACATTGGTAAAATCAAGCCAGACTAAGTCATGGCTGTAATCCTCGGTATACTATGGGTTTCAGTCATTGTTGTCGAGCGAATTTAGTAACCTAAGGTTTCTATTATTAGTCTGTCTCACAGAAAGTTCGTGAAATAGAGCATGACCTGCTCAATCCACTCTCTCGATACAACCGCCTGAAAGAATGATCTGGCATGCCGACCGGTCTGCGCATGTCTACCTTTTCATGCACCAAAGAAAACGGTCCATCTTCTGGCTCGATCTTAAAGCTGTATCGTGTTTCATATATTCTGTAAAAAGTATGTGAGTATAATCTATATTTTTGCTAAAAGATAAATAGAATAAACAAGACTGCGTGTCAAAAAAATAAAAACGACATCAGAGAATAATCGATAAGAGTGGAGACTCGGAAAGAGAGAGAGGCGGGGGGGTGAAAGCCAGAGAGAGGGTGAGAGAGAGGCGTGGGACGGTGTGTGTGTGAGTGCGCGGTGGTGGGCTGGCGGAGTAACCTGGACACGCCTGAAACATTCCCTTCCCAACCGCCGTATGTTACCTTCCTCCCCGACACTATCACGCTTCTTCCCTTGCATCCTCCCCTTTGGTGATCCCCATGTGCGTGTTTGTGACGCTGCTGGTGACTTAGCGCCCCTCGGGAGACTAGTGAGCGTAATGGTGGCCGAAGACCCCGAGACAGAGAGGGCTAGAGGCGTCTGTTAGCCTGGAGGGACGCTACAGAGGTAAGATGGGTAATATTCGTACTAAAGAAAGTTACCTCCGTTGCTTTAACATCAGCTTTGGGTTATTATATCCGGGACAAGTAGTTGTGATTATGTTAAAAAAATTATGTCGAGGATTCAGTACAAGTTTTGTAGAGACTCTGTAGAATCTTTCCGCCCGTTTGTGTGCCTTTGCTACAGGTGGCAGTAAATGAAGTCATTACGTAAGTGGGTTACAGTCGCCAACACTGAACTGTACCTGAAATTCAGAAGTCGATACCCCTCACAGAGAACCCCTCAGTCTCAGGCTCGCCAGCTATTTTACTGCTACACCAAAATTGAATACGTACACACACCATTACTATAACGGTACACACAGTCTAGAATAACAGCGCCGGTGCCTCTGTTATTAATACTCAAACCAAAATAACTATTTTTTTTTACTATATTGTAGTTAGACTGTAGTCGCGACCACACAAAAGATTCTATGTACAGTATACTGTATTATTTGGTAAACGTCTTTGATAATGTAACGCTATAAAGAGGTTTGTTCTTGACTACAGACGTATGTTAAGCATTATGTCTTCAGATAAACTTTATGTTGAAATTGCTTATATTCTTACAAGTCATGCTATTATGTCAGGCTTAAGCTTTATTTCTAACTTTAAATCTGTTACGAGTAAAACAAGTTTAACACGTCTTTAAGATGTATCAGTGAACAGTTATGACGTTACCCACAAAACAGTAGTTCAATACCTGTAATTTTTATTCCTCAGTAACGCGCAATAAAGGCTCTACGGTACCTTAATATCCCCACTTAACATACAAATCGAAGGATAAGACAATAACAGTAGTACAATACTGTAATAAATATCCTGGATCAGTCCTTCACTCAATTCTTGATCCTAAAATTAATATCCTCAGATCCTTTCATCTTCTCCCTTATAGACAAGCCCCATCTCTCACCTCACCTCACCTCACCTCACCTCACCTCACCCCAGAATCATGTCTTCCTCTTGTCAGACGAGAGGTTTGGTCTGCATTTGCTGGAATTTTGCAAGTCACTTTATAAAAATTGGATAGTTGTGTTTGTGTGTGTGTGGGAGAGTGGATGGTTGTGATTGTGTATGTGTGGGAAAGTGGATAGTTGTGTTTGTGTGCGTGTGTGGGAGAGTGAATAGTTGTGTTTGTGTGTGGTAGAGTGGATGGTTATGTTTGTGTGTGTGTGTGGGGGGGGAGTGGATAGTTATGTTTATGTTTGTGTGTTTGGGAGAGTGGATAATTGTGTTTGTTTTTGTGTGTGTGGATGAGTGGATGGTTGTGAGTGTGTCGGGGGGTGGATGGTTGTGTTTGTGTGAGTGTGTGGGAAGGTGGATGGTTGTGTTTGTGTGTGTGAGTGTGTGGGAGGGTGGATGGTTGTGTTTGTTTGAGTGTGTGGATGAGTGGATGGTTGTGAGTGTGTGGGGGTGGATGGTTGTGTTTGTGTGAGTGTGTGGGGAGGGTGGATGGTTGTGTTTGTGTGATTGTGTGGGAGGGTGGATGGTTGTGTTTGTTTGAGTGTGGGAGGTGGATGGTTGTGTTTGTGTGGTGATGTGGGGAGTGGATGGTTGTGTGTTTGTGTGAATGTGTGGGAAGGTGTGTGAGTGTGTGGGGAGTGGATGGTTGTGTTTGTGTGAGTGTGTGGGCTTGTGGATGGTTGTGTTTGTGTGAGTGTGTGGGAAGGTGTGTGAGTGTGTGGGAGAGTGGATGGTTGTGTTTGTGTGAGTGTGTGGGCTTGTGGATGGTTGTGGTGTGTGAGTGTGTGGGAGAGTGGATGGTTGTGTTTGTGTGAGTGTGTGGGAGAGTGGATGGTTGTGTTTGTGTGAGTGTGTGGGAGAGTGGATGGGTGTGTTATTGTGTGGGTGGGTTTGTTTTAATAGCACATGTGAGTGTGTGGACACATTGAGGTGTGTGTGTGCGCGCGCGCGCTGGGTGGTGTAATACGTCTATTGTGGCAGCATTGTGTTAGTGTTAAGGTGCAAGCACTGCTTGCTTCTCTCTAGTTTTCAGCTACCGCTGCTGGCTAGCCCTCGTGGCGAACAGGGAATCAACTTCCATTAGTCCTCTCCTGCCAGTACACAGCCTCTTGACCATCAAGATCCCTGTTGTGCCTCCTCGTGGAAAAACACGGTAACTGGGTGCCCCGTGGGCCAGGCTAGACCAGCAGGGGATCTCGGAGTAGCAGTGGGCCCCAGAAGAACAGCGCATAAGCCCACTGACATGTGGACACGTCCTGGTGCCTACCAACCACTGCCTCGCTACCTTGCGGATTAACCTTGATAGGTAAAAGGCTGCGGGAGTAAACCCCAAACGAAATATCTGCTGTGGAGCCCAGCATCAGGCAGACATGCTTACAGAACTCCAACAAGATCCCAACGGCGGTGAAGGTGAAAGAGGTGACTACCATGGGAACCCAATGACTACACCGGCTGGCGAAGGCAATGCATGATGGACAGGCGACTAAGGCAAAACCCAACAAACTGGGCTATCGGCCCTCTCCCCAATCGTTGCAACACTTGCACCACTGGTTCAGGAAAAGTGAAAGCCGAGATGTGGGGCTGCAGCTTGAGCTCCTTCCTCACCATATAAATCAACTCATGCGCAACCATCATCTAGCTTATCATACTTTTCATCATCACCAAAACCCCTATACCCCCAAAAGTCCAATGGCGACGAACGAGTGGCGATGGGGGACAGGCAGATATGACTGATGTGAGTCTCTAGTCACAATTCTGCACATGGGTGGCATAAATAAGATAGTCGTTTATGCACTGGGATCGAGGCAGCACTGCAATCCAGTCCTGTCTGTGCTACTGAGCAATCCTTTCGAGAAGGCACTCTGCTCACCCCACATGGGAAGGGGTAAGAAATGGTGCCCTAAACATAGCCTGCCTAAAGAACCAACCCGATTGGGCAACCGCACCCAGTAAGGTCATCCCTATGCAGTCGAATATACAAACATAGTCACAGATCAAAACAAAAACCATCTATACAACCTTTTATGGTCGCTACATGAATGTCAGGACCCTTCTGGATACTGGCACATATGAGCGCTCTGAAAGAAGAACCATCCTCGAAGCAAAAGAGCTGGCTACGTATAACATCGACATAGCAGCCATTAATGAGTCCCGGCTCCCAGACGAGGGTCGACTCAGAGAACAGGGGTCTGGCTATACCTTCTTCTGGAAGGGTAAGCTTCCTTTGGAGTTGGCTTTGCCATCCGCCAATGCATCCTACATAGGCTAACTGAAATACCTGTTGGGATCAAAGAGCGTCTCATGATGCCCAGAATCCCACTGAATCACTCACATCATGCCTTCTTCATCAGTGCATACGCCCCATCACTGGTTGCAGAGGATGAGATCAAGGAGGCCTTTTTTGCCGACGTTGACAGAGTGCTAACCTCTGTCCCCAGAGAGGATACGGTTGTGCTCCTTGGTGACTTCATTGCCAGAGTTGGCAGAGATGCTGACATTTGGCAGGGAATAATAGGGAGAAATGGAATAGGCAAGTGTAATCCAAACGGTCTACTCCTCCTCAGCAAGAGTGCTGCACACAATCTCACTATCACCAATAGCTTGTTTAGGCATTCCGACAAGTTTAAGGGTTCGTGGCAACACCCACGATCCAAACACTGGCATCTCATTGACTTCATCATTGTCACAGAAACACCAATGTGGATGCCATGACTACCCAGCAGGTCCCTCAGCTTCCTGAGCTGACCCACCTCCGCTATCCTCCATCCTTGGGTGAAGTAGCTACTGCCATCAAATTGACG